TTCTTTATATTTCCAGATATTCCTGGCTATATTCTTAAAGCAAAAAGCATAATACGTGATTTTTGCTATATTTATAGCCCAAGTAATCCTGTTATCTTTATACCATTTTAGCTCTACCTAGTAAAAGAAGTCCTGGGCTTCCTTAATACTCTTTCCCTTATAAGTTAGTAATTCTCGGGTTTTTGGAGCCCTATAAACCAAACGTGCCGCTAGTAGTATAATAGATTCTATAATAGGTACCCGAATATTCTTAAGATAGTAAATCTAAGCTTCTAGATCCTCTAGATTCTCTCTCTATTATATCTCTGCTTCTAACTCAGTAATATAATAACGAGCCGCCGCTAGCTTCTCTATTATTATTATTCTACTAGCTAGTTCTAGGGATATCTGAGTTCTATTTCCTTTTCCTAATTAGGTAGTAGCTAGAATAGCTAACTGGGCGCTCCTCTAGATACCTAACTAGGTTGCCCTAGTAATAGTAGAGGCGCTTCTTCTAGTTAATATTCTAGCTATTAGTGGTTTTATTTATTAATAGCTTAATTACCTCGTAATGAACTGCTTCCCGAAGGTTAGATTAATTAGAATATAAGGCACGTAATAGCAGGATAATATATAAGTAGTTAAAGTAAGTAAGCTATAAAGTAATACTTATAAGTATAACTAATTTCAAGAATTAATTCTAATAAGAGACTAATTAATGCCTCTTCTAAAGCTAGAAGCGTTTCCCTATATATTCCCTAGTATTTAGCTAGGCATGCGAAGCCCTTTACTTAATTAGGAAATCCCATATAATTCATATAATTCTAATTATAAGCTATACCCAAAATAGGAAACTAGATCCACGATATCTAATACCTGTCCATGCGCTATTACGTGTGCCTATTATACTAATAACTATAAATTATAAAAATTAAACTAGCCTTATTAGGCTATTTTATCTTTTATTTAAGAGAGCCCTCTTATAAGTAGCTAAAATCTCTTAGTAAGTTCTTAACTAATTAAGAACGTGACTTGGATTTAGAACTAAGGATTTGGTTTATAAGATCGGGGTATTTATTAAGCCATAATTATAATTTAATGAGACATTTATTTAGCCGTCTTATAATTTGATTTCTAATAATTAGTGGATTTATAGGCCGTGCTTATTATAATTAGTGGAGTTGTGAGTTATTCTTGTGGTTTGGTATAGCTAGATTTTATTATTTAAGTAGCTAGATTTCCTTTTTTAGAACCAGAAAATTAAGCACTCGAATAGTACTTCAGAATTACTTTATTCTTTGCTTTACGATCTTAAACCATTACTTTACTTTACTTTTTAAGACTTTAGTCTTTAAGACCTTACTGTGACGGCAGGAATAAAGCAATGGAATGATGCTCAAAGATTAATAATTTCCAATGTCCTATAGAATCTAAAGCTAAGGAGAGAAGGAGTGAGGTATGGCAGTGGATAAGTAGGTATGGCCAAAACCACTGAAACGCCGAGCTTTGGAAGCGAGCTTGGTTTGAACCATAGCTTGGAACCTTAGCTGAAACCAACCCCTTTGGCTGAAACTACGTCTGTATCAACCATGTGACACCAGCCGTCACACTTACCTCCTTATCGATTCCGACTATTCCGACAATTTTCTTCACATTTGGTCGGGTGCCTAAGCGCCATTGGTTTAATTTTCTAGCTAACTTAAGATCTAGGTAAAATACAAATGAATGTAAAATTATCGCCTAAAAGCATACAGCCTACGAGGGGTTTTAAAGGTTAAATGACACCTGATTACGTCGAAAAGCACCTGTTTACAGGCCTCCGGGGGTCTTCCGTCGGCGAAGGAGCTAGAATTACAGGGTGGTCCCACCCAATTAGAACAGCTGTTTACGCGTGGAACAGCTGATTCTCACGCTGCTATAAGGTCAGCCTCTCTCTCATTCTCTCTCTCTCTCTGCAAGCTTTACTTATGATGGAATCATTAATCTTTATTCCTATACCAAAAACATATTCAGAGCCGACGAGTAGAGATGACCGTCTTCGTATACAAACTCTCTACTATATAGCTGGCTGGACTGTCCCTGATATTCTTCTCCAGAACCCAAAGCTTACTCGCAAGCAGATTGATTACGCCCTACGGTACCGCCCAACACCCCAAAAACAACGGTGCGGCCGTCATGCACTCCTTACAACCCCTCAACGCAAGCACCTTATCGACTGGGCTACCTTTAACTCCCTCTCGTGCGATATTCCAAGGAAGGAGCTACCAAAATGGCTCGGTTATAACTGTGGAGAGTACGCTGTCCGTACGGCCTTCAAGAAGGAGGGCTATACCCGGGGCGTGAGGAGGAGGAAGCCCCCAATCTCACCTGAGAATCAAATCCTCCGGCTTGCGTGGGCAGAGGAGCATAAGAACTGGACAGACGAACAGTGGGACGAGATCTGCTGGAGTGATGAGACTTGGGTACAGCCTGGATATCACAGAAGACAGTGGTATACGAGGAAGATAGGCCTGGAGGAGCTCTTTCACCCCGATTGTGTACAGCACAAGTGGTAGCGGCGAATTGGCTAGATGTTCTGGGGGTGTATAAGTAGGAAGTACGGCAAGGGCGTGGGCTTATTCTGGGAGAAGGAGTGGGGGACAATAACTACGAAAACATACTGCGAACGTACCGTTCCCGCGATCCTTAACTACCTCTTTAACCACCCAGGACTCTCTTATCAACAAGACGGAGGAGCAGGGCATAATACCGTGGCTACACTTGCTCTCCTTGCAAGGTGGGGAGTCGTACCAATCTCCTGGCCACCGTTCTCGCCCGATCTATCACCAATTGAGGATATCTGGAATCGACTAAAGGATATCTTACAAGAGATAGACCCTGAGGTACACCGGAAGTCATGGAGGCTAAGAGCGGCTGTTTTGAGAGCTTGGGAGACGATTACAGATGCGGAGATTAGAGAGAGGATAAGGACGATGCACCAGCGCTGTCTGGATGTAATTGCAGCTAATGGAATGGAAACAAAGTGGTACTATCCCCCCCCTTGAATACTTACAGTGGGTCCTGGGATAACACCACTCCTGCACTGACCAACTCAAGGGTGTATGGCCAATAGCGATTCTGGAGAGCACCTGATATTTCCTAGTTGGGGGTTATAAACGAGGTTTCAGGGTGGCGTTACTAAAGGACCCACTGTAAGTATTCAAGGGGGGGATAGTAGAATTGTCTGAATAGCTTTAATTGCAGTGATTTGCCTCTGTGGAGTGAGTGAAGTGTGGATAAAAGCGGCAATGGTGGCGATAATTTAACCTTTAATGCCCCCTGTACGTAGTACGCTGCCAAACGCCCCCTCCCCCATTCGACTAGCGTGTGGCGCCCCAGCCCTGTAGCAACCCCTGCCCGCCCCAAGCACCGCCTGTAAGGCCTGTAGAAACCCCCCTAAGATTTGTGAGAGCCTGACAGGCGCCAACATACGCTGCCACTCTGGCAGCGTATTTTTTTTTGGGATTTTCCTCGTTCCCACCGAGGATTCCTTATTTTCTATAGGGCATAATAGTCGGTCTCCCTTCTCTGTTCGCTTCGCTTACAGTCGGGGAAACCAAGTGTCCCGCGAAAGCAAGTGTCCCATTGAGAGTACCCTTTTTTACCTAAAACGCCTTATAATTTAGCTTCCAATAATCAGAATTTAACATATATAGGCTTATTTAAAAGCCCCAAGTAATTTCTTCTAGATTATATAACTTATAGAGTCTTATTAATATTAATAAGCCTTATATATATTTAAAGTATAGTTCTATTTTCGTGTTCCTTTCTCGCTAAGATTCACGCACAGGCCACATCTCGCAAAAAATCGCGAAAATCGCAAAATCAAGAAATATTTAATTCTTGTAACTTTTAAGCTATATAATCTTTAAAAGATTTAATAATAAGTTAATAAATATATATTCTTTTACATAAATAGTAATTATACTCGGTCTTAAAAGATATATAGTAAAGGGTGCTTAGTTATTCTTCTTTTAATCTAGCTGGGACACTTGCTTTCGCAGGACACTTGGTTTCCCCGACTGTAAGCGAAGCGAACAGAGAAGGGAGACCGACTATTATCTCCAGGCTATAGCTATAGGGGTATAAATGCCTTGTTCCCACCGAGGATTTCTTACAGGCTTCAAATGCCCTAAAGGCCCTGTAGAATCTCCCTCCAGGGGCCCCCTGTTACGCCAGTCCTAATTAGTCCAAGCCACAAAAAAATACGCTGCGCGGCGCTGGCAGCGTATTATTTCGTAATGAATGCACTGAGAATTTCTCGAATGCAAAGAGTAAACGACTTTACAAGCCGCTATCCGTTCCGCTGCCACCAGCTTTACATGGCCCGTGCATCGGAAAAACCATTATTCCGGAGGAATACCAAAACTCTGGCTCCTGTTTACATGTAAATAAACCATTGAGAACTCAATTAAATCATCAATTGCACCACCATTACAATGCCAGATGCTACCGTGTTCGATTCCACTGATAAAGGGACCCTTCGGCCTAATGAGGATCCACTACACAAGCAGGGAAGTACTTTTAAGCCTATGCAATTGCCCCAATTCGGCTGGGAAATCACCTTACCTGAAGACGTCTCTCCAGATGATCCTATTACTTTATTTACTATATACTATACTCCCAGAATCATTGATCTGATAGTCGAGAAGACGAATACCTATCTGCGAAAACCTCAAGACGATTCTACCCCTTGTACACGAGCAAACGCTTGGTATCTAACAAGCCGTAGAGAGATATATATCTACCTTGCGATTCGGATATATATGAGCTTATATATAGAGAATGAGATCGCAGATTATTGGGATACAAATAATATGACTCCTGAGTACCCAATTACAAAGTTTCTGAGTAGGAATCGGTTTCAGGAGCTCCATATATATATGCGATTCCATAGAAATCAGGAATAAGGCCCATATGCGAAGGTAGTCCCCAGATCTCTATTCATTTTACCTGAAACTAGCTAATAAACTACCGAGTAGGTGGAAGCCTTTAGTACGCATATCCAGGAGGTTAATTTAAGGGTTTGGAAGCCTGGGAGGGACTTGGCAATAGACGAGATAATCGTACGATTTAAAGGTCGATTGAAGGAAATAACTACTGTTCCAAACAAGCCTATACCTACTGGATATAAGGTGTGGGGGGCAGCCCGGAGGGGGTTCTTGCTCGTATGGAATTGGCATATTCCAGGGCAAAAGAATGGGCCTTTAGGAATACGTACTTCAAGGAAGCTTGGTGGGACGATTAAGGCTGGAAATAGAGGAAATAAGATACAAGCAGTAGTCCTGCACTTGGTTAAAAGGTTACCTAAACCTCCTAATAGTTCTGGATATTACGTTTACCTCGATAATCTCTTTGTTTCTACCCGCTTCGTCTAATATACTCGCTCCCAGGGAGTTGTAATTACAGGGACATATAGGATAACTAGTGGAGTTATTAAGGAGCTTCTTGACCTTTAGAAATCGGACAAAAAGGACGTTATCCCCTAGGGAGAGACCTATTCTAGGTATATGTCTAATAGAGAAGTATATTACGTTAGATAAAAAGATTAGGCCTTTATTTTAATAATATCTTCCTTTATATCAGGTAACGAGCGTGTTTTACGGCTAAGAAAGAGGCCTAAGGAAACTTCTTCTAAAGCAAAAACTATATGAGTACCCTTTAGTAGCCAGGCTATAAAGGTACTTTTAATTCCTATAATTGCGGATAGATATAATTTGTCGGGAAATGGCAGATAGAGGCAAGACGACTCTATTAGTATCTAAGCTCGAAGCCCTAAATGGCTTGGCTAACTAATGGCTAGCTAGTTCCTTCCCTAGTGGCATTACTACTTCCACACGTCACCCAATATCTCTTCCTCCTTTCAGGAGAAAGATACTACTCCGGTAATATAATAGTTTACTCGAGAGAAGCTAGTATAATAAAGTACCTAAAAATAAAAAGGAAATTAATAAAGGAAAAAAATAATCCGTTTATATATTCATATATCTATCCGTCTATTTATTTACTCATTCATTCATTTATTTATTTATTAAATACCCGGGAATACGCATTATTAAAGTTTTATTCTTGAATACCCAGCTACTATTATACTAAATAATAGTTCTAAACTATATATGTGATCTGGAATACTAAAAAAAGGCAAAGATATTAATATAGGAGATAACGTAAACCGGGAGGTTATATTATTATAATATTATAGCTCGCGAGATAAGAATAATTAAGTTACTTAGGTACTACCTCCATATGGCCGAATTACATGCCTTATAGTAATAGGCCTAGTTCTTTAGAATTTACGTAATACTCTAGCTTTATCTTTAGTTTTCCTACTATATCCTCGCGAGTAATACCAAAAGCTTGGCATGCCTTTTGGCCTTAGGGAAGTTTCGAGCCCTGGATAGGCAAGTCTAGAACCCATCTCTGACCCTTGGGATAAGGTAGGTACTATCTAGTAACTAGTAGTACCTTAGTATTACTTTCCTCGAATTTTATTTCTGGATTATCTATTAATACTCGGGCCGCAGATCTTATCTAATATTCCAGCTTTTTAGATAGCGATTTCAACTAGTCTATAGCTTCTCTCTTAATAATACCGGCCGGTATAGCAGGTTATGGTAGGCCCCGCAAAGCTTATATAAGTATTTCATTAGTCTACTTAGTGTTTTTAGTAATTATTTATGGGGCTTTATATAGTAGTAAGAATAATAGTAATTATAGTTAGACTAGGTTTATATTTTCGGGTACTACCGGATTTTACTAATTAATTCGTTTTTGAAAACACATAGAGATATTACTCGTAAATTCTATAATAGCTATGGCTACTACCTAGATAATAGATTATTAGTCTTTATTAATAATTACTAGAGGTAATAGGGCAAGAATAGGCATAATATCTAGTATATTTTCTATTACGTAATTGAGTTCTAGTAATAGGGCACGAGTAGTTAATAGGGCATTTACTAGTTAGTACTATAATTCTTAGAGGCTCTTACTAATACGGGTAATTAGCTTTTTGGCTAGTATAATAAACTTCTCTTTATCTTAATTAAATTAGGGTAATAAGTCATTTATAGTTTTATCTAATACCCGGACTTACTTCTTACCTTAGTTAAAGATATAGTAAAGTTCGTTGCGATAAGTAGTATTTGCTATACTATTTACTACTTTAGAAAAGGCTATATGTGTCATAATCTCATATAATAAAATAGTTAGGTTATAATTCCTAGAAAGAATATTATATAGGACCAAGTCCTTATTTTCTGGGATAAGGTCTTCCTTAGTTACTAGCTTCTTAAGTACGCTTTCTATTTAGTTACGGGCCTTACTAAAGGTACTCGGGTAGCCCAAAGGCTAGAATAGTCTATTATAGTATAAGGCTTCTAGAAAGCATACTCTCTCTACTAGTTCGTTAATAACTAAAACCAGGTTTTTACGATCTCCGGAGAAGATATTAATAAAGTAGTAATATAGATTATACTATTAATTATTAGTAATAAATACCGGATTAAAGTTCTTATTATCCAAGAATATAATATTACCCTTCTTATTCTTACTAGTTTAGATATATATAATACGGGTATCCGGTTATAATTAGCTTTCTCTCGGATAGTTCTCGAATATAAAGCGCAATCTAAATAGGTAGCTGGCGCAAGTTCGGTTACTATATGACTAATTATTAGGGTATCCATTAGCGGAAAGAATACTATTTATCTTTTTAGTATAGAGATTATAATAAATTACTCTAATATAATTATATCTGCCCTTTATATTTAGTAGTACGCCGGTTATAGTACTATTACCATATACCGGGTATAATATACTAGCTTACGTACGTATTAGTTAAAGGTTAAATACTAACGTATGACCGTATTTAGTTATAACTAGCGGTCTATAGAAATAGAAAAGCTTTAGTTAGTTTATTCCGAGAAAGACCTTACTATTAACTCTCATATTAAGTCCATTCTCTGGTACCTAGACTAAACATAATTCCTTAGGAAGGTCCCGTTTAATTATTAGTATCTGGTTATCTCTATACTAATTCGGGTAGGAATTACGGGATTATAAGGGATTTAGGGCACAGTTGCGGATATTGTAATATTTATTAGAAAGCTTAGTAACCGGAATTAGGGCTTGTTTATATAGGCTACCTATTAGGGTCTTTGAGATTACGAGGCCGGGTATTGGGCTTTCTTTAATACTGGCGGCTCTCTTGGCTATAGCTAAATAGGCTATAGTAGCTTCGTTTTTAGGTATTTTGGTTATAGCCAAACTAAATATATATAGTATTTGAGGTAGATATATAGTAATTATGAATTTAATATGAGATAGTATATTTGAGAAGGTAATATAAAGTAAATAATAGCCTTAGTATATTAGTAAAAATATCTAGTTACTAGAGAAATCGCGCTAGTAAGATATATTTCGGTTCCGTATTATGAGGCTATACTAGTAAGGCCTAGCCTTACTAAAATTCGGTAGTAAGGAGATTTAGGGTTATAACCTAGTAATTAGTAATTCCTATTCGAACTTTCTAACTAGGTTAGGTATATTTATATGTAAAATTTATCCGGGTTACTATTTTTTTTTTAGATAGCTTATATATTTTACTAGGTACTATAGTTAGCGGCTTCTATATCCGGGTTTACTCCGAATTTCTTTAGTAATAATATATTTAATAATATATTTCTCGTCCTTAATAGGCCCTAGTCCGGAAATTTCGCGGTTATATAAGTCTAGATATACTAGTTCTATATAATTAATAGATATTACCGGGTAAATAAATAGCTATTCTAGTAATTCGAGTTTAAAGGCTAATAGTGAGATAATCTTTTATATATAATAAGGTCCGAGTTTAATAAAAGATAGTTTAGTAAAGTTCTAGAGAAGTTTATAACCGTATTTAGTAGACTTAGCTACTTTTAAGAAAACCTGGTTCTCGGGTTATAGTACTAGTAATTACCTCTTCCTGTCTCGATTTTCTTTTATTCTAGCTTGGGCTAGTATAATGGCTTCGGATGCTTCTATAAAGAGCTAGTAGTAATTCTTAATAAATTACTTCGCACTCTTTTTAGTTAATTCCTAGGTAATGGCTCTCTTAGTAGTATCTAGTACGGACTTGGGTTAGTGGCCATATTATAGTTTAAAAAGGCAGAAACCAGAAAACTTATTAGGGCAATTATTTAAGGCAAAGCAAATAGCTAGTAATAGCTTTTCCTACTCGCTCTAGTTATAGTAACTAGCTATTACATATCTTAGTACGTGTATTAGAGTCTAGTTAGATCTTTTAGATATTCTATTTACTTGGGTATAGTAAGATATAGTAAGTATAAGACAGATATTAAGGATTAAGTATAGTTTTATCTAGAAGAATAAAATAAACTTTAGGTCCTAGTCAGATATTATCTTATCTGGGAGCCCAAATTCCTTGTAATAGTAATTATAGTATGCCTTTGCCTAGTCTTATCCCGTCTATGTTTTCTTCCCTAAAATCGCTTTAATTCATTTGGTTAAGGTATTAGTAATAGTTATAATTGTATTATTACCGGTTTTCGAATCTAGTAGTCCGGTAATAAAGTCGGTATATAGTATTAAGAGTTATTTTGGTAGTAGTAGAATTAGTTATAGGTATCTATAGGAAGCATATATATTCGGTTTAGATCTTTAGTAAATGGGATATGCGGTAATATATTTCTTTATCTTTTTCCATATTTATAAGAAGAAGATATAGTAGTAGAGAAAATTATAAGTCCATTTAGCTTTCACGTGAGCCCGTTTATTATGAGCTATTTTAAAGATAGATTTGGCAAATTTATTAGGTATATATAGTCTCTTATAACCAGAGTTATTTCTAAAAAAGAGGAGCTTAGTATATAGGTTAATACAGAAAGATTTAAAGATAATTAGTAGTTCGGATTTCGGGAATGCCTTTAACTAGCCTAATATAGTATAATATACTCGGCCAAAGCTTCTATTCCGGGGAAGTTAGTAAGCTAGTACCCGTATAAATTATTTATTTATATAAAGGCTCGTGGCTTAAAGATTCTTTAATTTGCCTTCCGAAATAGTTCTATCTAATTAGGTAGCTTGGCTGGGTTTAGTATTTACGGGTATATAGAAAATAGTAAGTACTAATATATCCCCGGTTACTAAAGTCTCGAGAAGCTAGCGAGCTAGCTTAGTAATAACTATTTTTACTCTAGATAGTGCATTTATATTA